TTCATTAAAAATGACCCAATCACGCTGATTTTCGAACTTGACCTGTGTATTATGAATATTCATCAGTTCTGTAAGTTTCAAGCCAAAAAGTAAAACAGTTTTCCACTTATCGTGTTATCGGTGCTTCATTTATGCTGAAAAAAGTGAAAAAACAGCATAAATTCCCTATAAGTGACCCGATCATGCTGATTTTCGAACTTGACCTGCGTATTATGAATATTCATTAGTTCTGTAAGTTTCAAGCCAAAAGAAAAAACAGTTTTCCACTTATCGTGTTATCGGTAAAAGTGCACGGCGACGGCGACGGCGACGGCGACAGCGACGACGGCGACGACAGACGCAGATGACGGCTATATGTACAGACACATCTGTGTCTGTACATAAAAAGCTTTTGAATCACTTGATATGGGAATTATTTCTTTTTTGTTTACTAGACTTTTTACGTTTTTTAAGGGGTGCAGCGGTCCGAGAGGTGATCGATTAGCACACAAAACAAGCAAGCGCTGCTTTTGGTGTCATAAACATGTCTATATCTTCACACATGTGACTTTTTAGGCATCTGGATACATGTAGTCACTACCGTGAAGGTTCGACAGCAACGTCGCAATTTCAAGAACGTTCAATAATGAAATATCGTAAACAAGTAACATGACTACCGATATTGATCTGCCATACAAACACTAACGCATGCAAGCAAAACCTTGACAATAACACAGTGAAAGAGCCACAAAGAAAAGTTATTAATTATTGATATATTAATTAGATTTAATGCTTACTTTCAGTCCAGTTAAACAACTCCAGTCGGCTTGTGTAATCGAAAGGTGCCGTCGTGGGTTGCGCGTTCAGTTCGGTCACTGAAAAAAAGAAAGAAAAAAATCAATTCAGCATTTGTTCATTTTCATTTTGCATTCAGAATATCATTAGCAAACCGATATTTTATGGGACTCTAGAAGAACTTCTCGAAAGTGCTTTTCGACGTTTCTTTTTGAAGTCTTCATTCAATAAAATCCGAATTAGTTGGATTTTTTACTTTAGATAGTTAAAACAGAGCCCTAGTTTCAAATGAGATCTTGATCAGCTTCTTTATCAGATATTCACATTTTGATAAGCGGTAAGCGGTCATAATTTGAGACTTGGCAGGAAAGTGGCACCACGAGAATTTTTAAAAACAATTTTGGGGGGATAAAAATGAAACAATAAAGTGTTAGCTTTTCGTTTTCCCATTCAATCAGATCTCTCCTAATTTGTCTTCATTCTAGATGAATGCCAATGCCACAGGTGGCGTAAGAAAAAAACTGGATTGTACCTTATTGGAGCCCCGACGTAGCCAGTAATTTCAAAAGGAGGTTTCTTTTTCTGAAAAAGTGGATCTTTTACCATGAAACTTTAGTGTACCTAGATCAACTTTTGCCCAGAGCAGACTTTTTCCCCGGTAAACGGGTGGTTCGTTCGACCCCCCCCCCCCCACCCCCCCCCCCCAAAAAAAAATTACCCCCCCCCCTTTGGCCACGGGACCAGAAGCTGAGGCTTTCAACAGCGATCCCCAAGCATATTTATCAGGCTATTGAAGAGAAACAGCTGGCTGGCGTCGGGTTTGACACTCCATTTTTATATCTTCACCTACCTCCGCATCCACCATGGAAAAATGACAGCTCCGTTTCTCGCAGGTACCACAAGAAGACGGCGAAGTCGTCGACCTGGACGCCCTTCGCTGTGTACTCGTAGCGTCCTGTTTCCTCTCCCCTGGGCTGGAGATTGTTAAGGTAACAGCCCAATGTGAGATGCGTCGCCTCCTCCACTGTGCCTGTGTTGGCCGTTGGACTGCCCACAAAGCCTACATTGGTCCCGTTTATGTATGCCTGGACAGGAAGGATAAGTAGATATGAATATGGATCTGGGAGTGCACAGCGAGTGTTATTACCCCCGCCAAGGAGGTTTTGTTTTGGTTAGTAAGTAAGTTAGTATGACTGTCAGTTCGCAACATAATGCAAAAATGTTAGTGACGAATTTAGGAACTTTGAGGAAAGGTTACAAATTGGCCAAGGGGCAATTGATTTGATTTTGGTGGTGATCCATACATTATTTAATGGCAAATTATTGCTTCAACATTATCTGTCTTGGTGGAGGTCTGCGCTCTCTCAACGCTTTCCTAGTTATCGTTATTATCAGTACCACATTTGGGGACATATATAACCATTTTTTTCATTATTTTCTTTCTCTTACTGCGTCCTTAGTACAAGTAGTTGTGCTGGTCAGTGATGGATTATGTGCTAGATCACTTAAGTGATGCCGTATGAATCTTTAAATCCAGTAATAATAATAATAGATAAATAAATATATGTTATATATATTATCTCAACTTGACTGTCTTACGTTTTTACCTTCGTTTTTATTATTATTATTATTTTAGAAACAGTCCCTAACTAAATCTTACCGATAGACCGGTAGACTGGCTCCATCGAAGTCCAAGGTTGGTCCACTTGTCCCAATACAACCATGGAGTTTGGACCTCATAGTAGCCACTCAGAGTGGTCAGTTTAAAGGTCAAGTACCGGACATTTTGACCAATGTTGGTGTGAAAAGACAGGTCGATCCCTGTGCGTGTGGAGCTTGAGTCTCGGCCCGGTAGAACTGGAATTTGGGAGAATTTATATATATCACTGAAACACTCTCTGTTACTTTGTTGGTTTTTGTTAGATTATAAAATCGTCTTAAAGGTTTTTTCGATTATTTTATCAAAATTATTGCACGTAAAAACAGTCGTAAACAAAATCATTTAGGCGAAAAAATATATAGTGTTTAAATACGGCAACCAAATATGACAAAATGAGCACACACTGATATCTAAGATTCATTTCCTATGAAATAGAAATTTGATCGGGATAAAACACAGTGAAGGAAACTCTCAGCATATTTTTTATTTACCTGAGGCAATTAACATGTGTTTGTTGAAGGTCTGCGAATGTGCCTGCGGCGTTTTCACCCACAGCGACAGCGAGACTCCGTGAGCACAAGTGTCCGGCTGAACCACGCAGAGGGCCTCGGACTTGGGAGTCAAATCTCCCATTTGAAGACAGTCCCTGTTATTGGGGCCGATACTGGCGTATCCGGATACGCCGGCAGTGAGAGTGCAGACGCCACCGGCTTGTTTCATTTCGACGGGGACATTGCTGACGTCAAAACAGGCAAGCAATCCGCCGTTGCGAGCCTCGTTCGGAAAACCCATGCTGTTTTGATCAAAACGCCAGAACATGTTGGTGTTGGTTTCGTAAGTCGCATCTAAAATGATTTTTAAGAAGGAGGAGTGCAACCTTTTTCATTTTGACTTTCTGAGCACAATACCATTTTAGCTAAAATAAGTATCGTCGTAACTAACAATAACCTCTCATAATGAAAATTGTTTCTATTATTATAATAAATCAAAATTGAAAAAGAAATTCTAAATAGTAAGCAAAACTTAAAGTTACAGCGCACTTTCTATTAAACGTATTCATAGGCCTACTCATCAGCACAGCGATCTTATTAAATATTTTAAGTTAAATAATCTAAGATGGATTTTTCTTCTACTATGTAATCCGTTTCTAAAAAAATAAATCACCAAGAGAGACCATCGACTTGTCAACCAAAGATTGAACCATGATCTTTATAAGTATCATTATTCTTTTACAACACCCGCCTGCATGAAATGTTCATTATTTTATGTACATTATTAAATATATTTCATATAGCATTAATTATTATTATTATTATTATAATTATAAACACTCACCGACAGCTGTGAAGGGAAGGGGAGCCGTCGCCAAAGTCGGAGCAGGCGTTGTTGGAATAGCTGTAACATCAAGAAAAATGAATTATCAGCAACGTATTGCTACCAAATTTATCATAACATGAAAAGTAGGAAATTTTTGTCAGTGATAAGTAAGTTTTCTTTGATTTATATAAAATAAAAATAAATGACCTTACCTTCGTGCCAATGGCGTACTACCTGTATTTGGTGTTCCTCTTCTTTTTCATCAAGGATCTGGATACTTAAGTAGGGTATAGAGAACAGAACAGAAGAGAAAATACGAAAACAAAAATACATGTACAGCGACCTTCCCACAGCATTCGTCAACATATACGCATACACATTCGTCAGCATATACACATAAAACTCGCCTCTCCACATCACATTCGTTCGCATTCCGAGCAATTTCTCACTGATAAAAAACACAACAATGTTGGATTCGGAATTCAACATGTTTTAATCTGATGATGCGAAATTCCATGCAAATCTGAAAAAGAATAAACGAAGAAAGAAGTCATGGTGAATTTGGCAATTGTCAATAAAAGATGACGGGTTCGACTTTATGTATTAGGTTCTAATAAATAGGAAACAAAATCTGAAAATGTGTTCATGTTACAAGTCTACTACACTGAGACTTTATCAATAACTAAATTTAAATCGCACATTCTTAAAACAATATTTATATTAAATTTGTAGAAATTTTATTAAAATTATTATTGTGACCAAAAATACGTCTTACCTCCTATCAGCGTGCGGCAAACTGTGCGCCACCGTTTCGCAGTTTCGTAATATCGATTAATGGGCTAGTCTATAGCAATTCCCGCCAGGGGAACAGGTCCAGTTGTACAGCGATTAAAAAATTCCTTTTACTGAAAAAATCAAATATATATATATTATGCCTTTGTGTTTGACAGTTAAATGTAAGGTGTGCTTATGATTAGGGTTTCGTTCTCTATATGTCTGTCGCAGAGGCAATACATTAAGAGTACTAACTTCTTTCCTTTCCTCCCTGATTCTGGTTAATTCTGGTAAGCTTAAAACCTTGACATTTCATTTGCATGCATCACAGAATATCTTTAATCGAGCTTATTGATCATTTAAATAATTAATTCTTTTGATCAAAGATATCGATCAACACGACAGTCGAAATAAACACGTTTTTGCTAAATGGCATTTAAAGTTGATACCATATCGATTTTTGATAACAATGGTGTTATTGATTCTATTCAAATAACAATGGTAGTGTTATTGATTTGAGAACTAATGACGCCCATTGATAATTGCCAATACGTCGTTTATTGAATTTTCTTTCTGAAAGACGGCAAGTAACCTGTAATGCATATTGAATCTAGTAACATGTTAAATTTAAGGTAAAGGTATAGTTAATAATGCATTGTGCATTAGACCTTTATAAAGCATAGAAATTTGTTTTCCTCAAAATATTAGTTAAAAAACTTAAGCCACCAAGGTACCGTTATACCCATCGAAAACCGTTGAGAAACTAGCAATCTATTAACAAAATTTGGAGTTCTTAATTTCAAATATTTGTTCTATCAAAAGCAAAATTTCCTAGCCCCGACCCCCATTCTTAGAAAAACGGGTTTATGAATCGTGATTCCCTGCAATTTGGCATACGATGATTAACGAAAAAGCGTTAAAATTCCAGAAATGTATTTTTTTGCTTTTGTGTGCCTTTTACAGGTATATTACGGGTATAGACTATTTGGTAGAAAAATCAATGTCACCAATATTCAAAAAACCGAACCGAAGATTGGTGAAGGGACATGTTGTTCACAGACTAAGAATTTCTAAATATTACATACTTATTTTTAACCAATCTATCAAATAACATTTCACATACTAAGAACTCCCACAAAAAGGGCATTTAAATTCTTTAAGAGATTTTATTTGAAATATTTTTGACTAACTCAAATATATTGGCGATTTGAAGAGTATACGTTCCACTTAGGAGTATTTTTTTAAACTACTTAAAAGGGAATCGTTTTTTTTTTTCTTGAAAATTTATATATTCTATTTTCTATCTATTTATCTATCTCGGTTAATTTCATTAATTTATTGCCAAAAGAAAAAAGAACGAACCCGGACGAGATTTTGAGTTTCACGGAACTGGTCCGTCTCTACTGTGCACGTAGCTGAGTGATGACGTCATTTCTATGCTAGCTGGACACAACAAAAAAAGTACAAAGAACTAGGCAGATAAATAACTGTGAATAACTCTTGAAAAATTAATCTGAGACCCTAGAAGGAATAACTGCTATTCAGAGCCAAGAAAAGATGCTTAAACAGTAGCGCAAACCTCCGACTCCTCAGCCGTTTAGACGCTCAATGCATACCCTCCACCTCGTATCCCTGTTGTTTTGGAAGAGATCTCCTACACACGATTCAGCAGCTTAGACTGAACGGTGATTCTGGATACCCATCCAATTTGACACAAGCAATATACTTGTGATCAGGCACTGAAACAAATAAGCCTAGATGGCTTGTATCATTCACAATGGTGAGATACCATTGATGAAAAATCAAACAAAAGCGAGACACCTTGGTTGACCGACCCCCTTCTTCCTCCGTTTTTATTTATTTATTTATTTTAATTTTTTTCCCTATGGACTTGCAGCTGATGTCGGTCACTTGTTGACCGAAAAGCGCCTTCTGTAACCAGTCCACGCAGTACGACTAGACTGCCAGGCGAGACACCTCAATCCATCACGGTATGCCCTTTCAGGGCACCTTATGACACTGCATGTTATGATATAAAAGTTATTTATCTTACTTCTTCAAAATTGAATGAGACTAAAAATTTCACTCTCTCACTCCTCCTACAATGTAATAGAAAGTTCCCACTTCTACTATGAAATGAAGTCATATACATTAAGCAAATTAAAAATAAATAAATAAATAAATAAATAAATAAAAATTGAAGAAAGGTCCTCAGACTCGATAAACTAGTCTTGAATAGTCACACAACACGAAAATAATAGCCAAAGAAATATTTCTATAACCTAAAATGTTCTCTTTTAATGTTGTTTAACTTCTTGCTGGATTTTTACCCTGGCTGACCCTTTGGGCATCACCTTTGACCTAGGTATCACTGCATATGTGCATAGCTCTGACCGATATTCGAGCAAATGCAACTCTACTAGTACGAGCAGTGAATGTTGTTGGTGCTCAAAATGTTAATACACGTTAAAGGTATACTATCCGCGTTTGAAAATATCCTGAAGTACATAATTACTTTGTTTGCATTTCCGGTAAAGCTACTTATCTCCCCCAATGTAGACCTTAAAGATGCTTAAATATCCCTCTAATAAAAGTAACTACTTTCGATTATTTTACCTCTGAAATGCACAGTAGTGTTAGTAACCAAGCAATTAAGAACTAAACCATTTAATTCTAAATGATATAAAACATTCAATCTAAATGCAGGAACCGGGCAATGAATCGTAAGCTGGAGTAATTTTTTTTTATCGAGAAAGAAAATTCGATTTGGCGGAAAAAAATCAGGTAGGATACCTATCGGGGCCATTGCCTGAGAAAACGATTGGGGCAGTTGTTGAATTCTTACATTATATATAGACAAGTTATTTGTACCGTTTTCATATGGGCACTAACTGAAGGGAAAATAAGAGAGTTCTGATGAACTGGGAGGGAATTCATTTTTATCTGTTTTCAAAAATCTCTTGGCTGGGCGCCATCGCCACCCCCCTCCCCGAAGCATATACCCTTGATATTATCAGTTGTAAGGTTGACTCGTTTTATTTCACACATTCTTTATTTTTTGTCAATCCATTCTGTATTCAGCAAATGTTTTAATAGAACACCATTTTGCACAACAATAATAAAGCTAATAGCGGTCCGTTCTCCTGGGCCTCATACTTGTGGATGTGAACACATTTGAGAGCAAGGTAATATAAACACGGGGTTTATTCTAACTGGCAGTACATTATAAAGCCTGCTCAGACTTTTTGAATTTTCTTCAAAAGCTGGAAGAAAAACATATTGGGGTAGAAGTAATCATGAAAAGGTATTTTATATACTTGATTGCTCTTGTGTAAACCTATCATAGTCGATCTCACAAGCAAAGCGGAAGAGTAATACGATATATTAAAGAATGTGACTGCATGAGTGGCAGCTCTGGGTATATAAGTCGTGGCCTACCCGCATGTAGGGTGCCCCGAATGCCGAGAATGTTCTTAACAGAGGTTTCCACGATGTCAGGAAAAGTCCACTTAAGGCTGTATCTGTGGTGTTTGGTGTCCATCATTGGCGGGTGCAAGGCACAATGGTGTCCTGAGCCTTGTCATTGTGATTTTACGTCCTTGTCCCAGGGACTTGTCAACTGCTCCTACAACCCAATCCTTGCCCTTCCCTTGGATAAACCTTTGCCACTTAAAACAACTGTACTGGATCTACGCTACACCGGTCTGTCTGAGATCCCACGGCACGCATTTAGTCACCTGGAGAATCTAAAAGTACTGTATGTCGGAGGCAACAACATAACACACTTTCATGAGGATAGTTTTGNATTGGTTTTCCTCAAAATATTAGTTAAAAAACTTAAATCACCAAGGTACCGTTATACCCATCGAAAACCGTTGAGAAACTAGCAATCTATTAACAAAATTTCGAGTTCTTAATTTCAAATATTTGTTCTTTCAAAAGCAAAATTTCCTAGCCCCGACCCCCATTCTTAGAAAAACGGGTTTATGAATCGTGATTCCCTGCAATTTGGCATACGATGATTAACGAAAAAGCGTTAAAATTCCAGAAATGTATTTTTTTGCTTTTGTGTGCCTTTTACAGGTATATTGCGGGTATAGACTATTTGGTAGAAAAATCAATGCCACCAATATTAAAAAAACCGAACCGAAGATTGGTGAAGGGACATGTTGTTCACAGACTAAGAATTTCTAAATATTACACACTTATTTTTAACCAATCTATCAAATAACATTTCACATACTAAGAACTCCCACAAAAAGTGCATTTAAATTCTTTAAGAGATTTTATTTGAAATATTTTTGACTAACTCAAATATATTGGCGATTTGAAGAGTATACGTTCCACTTAGGTGTATTTTTTTAACTACTTAAAAGGGAATCGTTTTTTTTTTCTTGAAAATTTATATATTCTTTTTCCTATCTATTTATCTATCTCGGTTAATTTCATTAATTTATTGCCAAAAGAAAAAAGAACGAACCCGGACGAGATTTTGAGTTTCACGGAACTGATCCGTCTCTACTGTGCAAGCTGCTGAGTGATGACGTCATTTCTATGCTAGCTGGACACAACAAAGAAAAGTACAAAGAACTAGGCAGATAAATAACTGTGAATAACTCTTGAAAAAATAATCTGAGACCCTAGAAGGAATAACTGCTATTCAGAGCCAAGAAAAGATGCTTAAACAGTAGCGCAAACCTCCGACTCCTCAGCCGTTTAGACGCTCAATGCATACCCTCCATCTCGTATCCCTGTTGTTTTGGAAGAGATCTCCTAAACACGATTCAGCAGCTTAGACTGAACGGTGATTCTGGATACCCATCCAATTTGACACAAGCGATATACTTGTGATCAGGCACTGAAACAAATAAGCCGAGATGGCTTGTATCATTCACAATGGTGAGATACCATTGATGAAAAATCAAACAAAAGCGAGACACCTTGGTTGACCGACCCCCTTCTTCCTCCGTTTTTATTTATTAATTAATTTATTTATTTATTTTAAATTTTTTATATTAATTTTTCTCTTTTGGACTTGAAGCTGATGTCGGTCACTTGTTGACCGAAAAGCGCTTTCTGCAACCAGTCCACCCTCTCCTTCCCCTCGAAACGCAGTACGACTAGACTGCCATGTCTACCTTGGTCCACGATTAGAGGCGAGACACCTCAATCCATCACGGTATGCCCTTTCAGGGCACCTTATGACACTGCATGTTATGGTATAATAGTTCTTTATCTTATTTCTTCCAAATTGAATGAGACTAAAAAGTTCACTCTCTCACTCCTCCTACAATGTAATAGAAAGTTCCCACGCTTCTTCTATGAATTGAAGTCATATAAACAAATTAAAAATAAATAAATAAATAAAAATTGAAGAAAGGTCCTCAGACTCGATAAACTAGTCTTGAATAGTCACACAACACGAAAATAATAGCCAAAGAAATATTTCTATAACCTAAAATGTTCTCTTTTAATGTTGTTTAACTTCTTGCTGGATTTTTACCCTGGCTGACCCTTTGGGCATCACCTTTGACCTAGGTATCACTGCTGCGCATTTGTGCATAGCTTTGACCGATATTCGAGCAAATGCATCTCTACATGTACGAGCAGTGAATGTTGTTGGTGCTCAAAATGTTAATATCCGCGTTGGAAAATATCCTAAAGTCATAATTTCTTTGTTTACGTTTCCGGTAAAGCTACTTATCTCCCCCAATCCAGACCTTAAAGATGCTTAAATATCCCTCTAATAAAAGTAACTACTTTCGATTAATTCCCTCTGGAATGCACAGTAGTGTTAGTAACTAAGCAATTAAGAACTAAACCATTTAATTCTAGGTGGTATAAAACATTCAATCTAAATGCAGGAACCGGGCAATGAATCGTAAGCTGGAGTAATTTTTTTTATCGAGAAAGAAAATTCGATTTGGCGGAAAAAAATCAAGTAGGATACCTATCGGGGCCATTGTCTGAGAAAACGATTGGGGCAGTTGTTGAATTCTTACATTATATATAGACAAGTTATTTGTACCGTTTTCATATGGGCACTAACTGAAGGGAAAATAAGAGAGTTCTGATGAACTGGGAGGGAATTCATTTTTATCTGTTTTCAAAAATCTCTTGGCTGGGCGCCATTGCCACCCCCCTCCCCGAAGCATATACCATTGATATTGTCAGTTGTAAGGTTGACTCGTTTTATTTCACACATTCTTTATTCTTTTTTTTGTCAATCTATTCTGTATTCAGCAAATGTTTTTAATAGAACACCATTTTGCACAATAATAAAGCTAATAGCGGTCCGTTCTCCTGGGCCTCATACTTGTGGATGTGAACACATTTGAGAGCAAGGTAATATAAACACGGGGTTTATTCTAACTGGTAGTACATTATAAAGCCTGCTCAGACTTTTTTGAATTTTCTTCAAAAGCTGGAAGAAAAACATATTGGGGTAGAAGTAATCATGAAAAGGTATTTTATATACATGACTGCTCTTGTGTAAACCTATCATAGTCGATCTCACAAGCAAAGCGGAAGAGTAATACGATATATTAAAGAATGTGACTGCATGAGTGGCAGCTCTGGGTATATAAGTCGTGGCCTACCCGCATGTAGGGTGCCCCGAATGCCGAGAATGTTCTTAACAGAGGTTTCCACGATGTCAGGAAAAGTCCACTTAAGGCTGTATCTGTGGTGTTTGGTGTCCATCATTGGCGGGTGCAAGGCACAATGGTGTCCTGAGCCTTGTCATTGTGATTTTACGTCCTTGTCCCAGGGACTTGTCAACTGCTCCTACAGCCCAATCCTTGCCCTTCCCTTGGATAAATCTTTGCCACTTAATACAACTGTACTGGATCTACGCTACACCGGTCTGTCTGAGATCCCACGGCACGCATTTAGTCACCTGGAGAATCTAAAAATACTGTATGTCGGAGGCAACAACATAAAACACTTTCATGAGGATAGTTTTGCAGGTTTATGGAATTTGGAACACTTAGACTTGTCTCCACTTCATCTGGACACGAATTTCGACAATGAAACATTTCCCGTCAGCTTGTTCCACGATTTAGCGCAGTTAAAAGTTCTGATATTTGGGAAAATGAGCGTCACCATGGAGGTGCAAAATGGTTATTTAGACCAAACCTTAGCTCCCTTACATCGATTGCAACAGGTGTTTTTTCCGGGTCTACCACGGCGTAATTTGGTGCTTGGTCCCGGTTATAGAAATCTCACATCACTTAAAACAGTTGTGTTTCACGGACATGGATCTGAAGTACACCTAAGAAAGCATTCTTTTGCCATGGTAAAAAATTGTCCTATCGAACGACTAGCTTTTATACGATGCGGTCTTGACACCGTAGAATACGGCACAATGTCTTCATTTCCACAATTNCTTGGTCCCGGTTACAGTAATCTCACATCACTTAAAACAGTTGTGTTTCACGGACATGGATCTGAAGTACACCTAAGAAAGCACTCTTTTGCCATGGTAAAAAATTGTCCTATCGAACGACTAGCTTTTATACGATGCGGTCTTGACACCGTAGAATACGGCACAATGTCTTCATTTCCACAATTGAAAACACTTGACATAGAAGAGGCATCCTTTATATCATTCAGAGAGGTTGAACATTTTATCTGTGACCTTAACAATACCTCGATTGAAGTACTCCGCATGAACAACATATTCTCATGGGGAATGAGGAAACCCGAAGATAATCAGTGGATCGTGCGTGCTAAAACCTTTCATTGTTTGAAATCCAAAAAACTTAAGTCACTTGAATTACTTGGTGATAAAATATTAAAGATTGACGTTGAAATTTTACCTTTTCTGTCGCATTTAGTATATTTAGATTTGTCTGGTAACGACGTTTTAAAATTTTTAGAAAATGAGACACAATCACACGGTTGGAAACAAATACTTGCTTATTCACAAAAACTTTCAAACATAAGACTTTTCAGGATGGACTACAATGTTTACCGCACGATAATGGTGAATGCCCAAGATGGCCCATCAAACTCCTTTTGGTATGGCCATCCAAAGCTACCTTTAGAACCAGCCAAAAATGTTAGTATATTGGACAAAGTACATCAAGGTCCCATACAAAACTTTTCTGATGCTGAGAGTCCAATTTTGCATGTAGGATTGCCTGAAAATTTAGAATTCTGGTCCTCAAGCTGGTGGGCTTCGGGTGATAACAAACTTTTACAGTGTGATTTTTTACATGGGTCCATCTATTTCTTTCCCAACAAACTCAGATATCTCAAAATAGAGGACCAGAATTTGAATTTAAACAAATTTTGTCCCGTAATATATGGCTTAGATAGACTAGAATACCTGGATTTTTCTTATAATGGTGTTAACTTCCTTTCAAAAAAATTTTTTGATAATTTCATCTCACTGAAATACTTGTATTTAAAAGAAAACAATTTAGGACCTTTGATAGCTACACGTGGTCTACATCCAATGCAACTCCCACACTTAGAAATCCTTGATTTATCAGTGAACAAAATCAGCACGATACCAAAAGACTTTTTTGGCTATCTTGTATCCTTGAAACGGCTGGACATCAGCGACAATCGAATATCAAAATTAACTTTTACCATGACAAACTTACTTTCCATAGAATACATAGATATCAGCACTAATCAACTAACTGACTTCTCGAGATCTGAGTTGGACTACATTAGGAAAAAGAATGCCAGTAGTTTAGATGTAACTCTGAACATGAGTAACAATCCCATGGACTGCACCGTTTGCAACGGCATAGGATTTCTCCACTTGATTATCCATTCCAACATGATGACAATATTCTCCAACGACTCCACTTGCTACGGGAATGGATCTAAAACAAGCTTAGAAAGTAGCCTGAGTAGACTTGAGGGGGAATGCGACAGCTCTCCACAAACTAACCAGAGCGACAGCTCTCCACGGACGATCATTTCATCAAACCATTGGCTTTCCTTTGGAGCATCTCTTGGTAGCATATCTGCTGTGGCCTGTGGTCTTATAGTAGCTTACATTTATCGTTGGAATATCAAGTAAGTTGACGTGTGAGTGTGTGCAAAAAAGTTTTATATTGATTAAATACATAAAAAATGAGCACGAAATACAATTTTACACATGAAAACTATTGTTATATAATAATAATAATAATAATAATAATAATGGTGTATTGTGCTCTTTTGTAAGGGTTACGAATGAATATAGAAAATATAGTTTTAACATTAATATTAAATCAAATGATTAAAAAGTATAGGGTAAGTCATCCATTTAACTTAACAAATGTATCATTCAAACGTGTATAAGCAGTATGGTATATCATTTAGTGTGGTATTTCAGTAAAACAATGTAATGCTGTAATGTACCTTTTTTATTTTTTCTTCCAATTTTATAGATATCACTTCTTCCTTCTTCGCCGCCATTTTCGAAATAGAGGTGTCATTACTGCAACACCTGGTCACGTGTACGCCTCCTATGACGACAACGATTATTACTGGGTGACGCACGTGCTGTTACGTCATCTAGAAAATGAGGATCAACTTGATGTCATTATAGATCAAAGAGATTTCATTGGTGGCGCTCCCCTTTCAGAGGCCATCGTAGAGGCCGTGGACCACAGCAGGAAAACAGTACTTGTTCTGTCTGAGAGCTACGTTCTCAATCCTTGGTGTGAGTTTGAGTTTCAGATGTCCCTTGCGCGTGGTTATCAATCAGTAATCCCGGTTATGTTTCAACCTGTGCCATTTGATGCTATGACGAAATCGCTGCGAAAGTACATTAGGGCAAGAGGGTATATAAAGTGGACTGACAATCCAGAGGGACAACGTTTGTTTTGGAAACGCCTCTCTGACGCCATCTTCGATCAGAATAATAAGCTTGGGCAACCACAGGAAGATTAATTGACTGAAATCATGTAGCTGAAAATATACTATAATGATTGTTTTCTGGTACTGATTTCATTCTTCTCTTACAACAGATAATAATAAAAAAATCTGCCTATTGTAAAAAAAAAAAAAACATTTATGACAAGGTTTTCATACTATTCAAGCTTTCTTTTACTGTGAAGTGGAGTTTTCAAATTTGTAATACCACAACGTCTTAGAAACTAGTTGGAGATCCAACCACGAACTCAAAGGGGCAATCTTTTCCTATCCTGTTCTTTAATATATGAATGCAAGTGTAATGTCACTACTGCCTCATGTCCCAAGCACAATCCAAACAATACTGGGCTATGTAAATACTTTAAAGGGTGTTTATATGATATATGTGCATAAGATTTTTATCAATTTTTAAACTGTAAATAATGAACAAAAATGGAAGCAAGACATGAATGTCAAGGCAACAAACTTACAATATTTTCCTGTCAATGTTAAGGAGGAGGAAATAAAACGGTTCACCCACAAAGCAATACATAGAATTGTGGGAACAAAGAGCTTACTTTTTTATGTAAAATGCTAATAATTCATATTGTAGCTTTTATCATACAGGTTTTGCAACAAAGACCTATTCATTGATGGTGAAATAGTTGATCAATTGTGGATAGAAGTGAAACAATGGACACATCAGTAGGCCTCAATTTTAAATAACCGGTAACCTTTTAAACTTTATTGTGGGAAGTAGTTACTATGTGTATAGTCTTCTGATTTTAACATAATATTAAGTCAGTTGTGAGAAGAAATAAAACAAGATTCGCATCAAGCACTGTAATTATTTTTGTGCAGTAGAGTGTGGATGTGTGTGAAATTGAGTATATATATTTTTATTATATTAACTGTATTTCGTATTTGATGAGAAATAAATAGCACATTTATTCATAAAAGGAAAAATATTTAGTAGAAAAATAATGTTACACTTAAAATGCTGCTCTCTTTCAAGAGTCAATATATTTACGTTGTACCAACTTAACAAAGACTGTCCAATCATAAAGCTCGATGGGTGAAGAGGGAATTCCCCACAGCTGTTGGCGAACAAAAGATCTGTACACGCACGGGTTCTCCAAGTTTATTCAGCAGCACGAACAGGAGGAGAAAAAAAGCACACCTGGGGATTTGTTACAATTGTGTGACAGTATAAGTTAATTTAAATACATGAATTCTGATATGTAGAAGCCTGTACTACCCGGTATATACCTTTTTGAGATGCCACTATCTCACTGTGCACTGATGCCAACTGAAACTTGGAAGCTTCGGAAGCCTGTAAGGGTACATGTAACAAGACAAAAAAAAAAAAAAAAAGGCAAAACAAAACAGACGTATCGCATTGTTCATATTGACGGTGACTGAAGGAAAAAAAAACCTTCTGCTGAACCTTGAGGGTAGGGGGTAGGGTAACGCTTTAGTAAGTTTGGTCAGACAAAGACTTATGCCCATGTGATAATTTACACTTTATTTAGCCAATCTTTTGTTATAAAAACGCATGATAATATTTCAACAACGGGATAAATGCATTTTAATGAGGGTCAAGAGCAGTAAGTAAATCGGAAATTTGAATACCGACGGAGCTATTAAAAATGAAAAATTATAATAATAACAATAAAATCCTGTTTAAGATTAAGATAGATTAAGATTTAATATTAAGATAGTTTAAGATGTAAAAATAAAGTGTTCACTAACATAGTGTATTAAAAAATCTCTTGGGTTCGGTGGAGTCACACACACCCTCCCGACTGATTGATTTTGTATTTTGTAAGAGTTCCTTATTTTATTTCACCCTTTCTTTATTTTCTTCAATGCGATATGTATTCAGCAAATCTTTAAAAGCGCCATTTTGCAGAATAATAGAGGCCTGGTGTACGATTACAGTGGGGTTCTTACTTGTGGTTGTGAACACAAACCAGCGCAAGGTACACACAGAGTTCTTTTTACAGGCTATATGCTATTTTAAACCCTTTACAGACCTTCTGAACTTTCTTTTAATACAAGTTAATGGTTTCTGCACAAAATCAGGAAGAAAAATATATTGGGGAAGTAACCAAGAGAAGGTACTTTATTTACTGAACTCCTCTTGTATAAACCAATCAAGGCCGATTTCAATAGCAAAGCGGAAGAGTAATACGATACATAAATAGGCGCCTACCAAGTTACACAAATATCCATATACAAGTAATTAAATATCTAGATGAACTTAAACACTTTGACCTTCTTTCAAACACGGTAACCGTGTAGAAAATGGCTTTTTGACACGTATGGCTTAAACAGAAAGTAGACAAAAACTTCATAAAATACTGAAGTGTAAGGCTTAGAGACAGTAGTATACAACTTTGGCATAGCAGGATATCACAACAAAATTTGAGAACGTATAAAACTTTCAAAGTTTATTTTGAGAAAGAAAAATACCTTGGTATGATTCAAGATTCAAGATAAAGAGAAAAGTCGAACCCTAACCAAATTTAGAATCAGTAGCCACAATTTGCAAATTGAAACAGGTGCAAAGGATAAACCCACACCAAATGAATAGAGAAAATGCCAAAATTGCCACACTGCAGTTATAGATAACGAAGAGCACCTTTTAATTACCTGCCCTCTGTAGAATCAAGGAGTTATAACAGCGCTCCTTGGTAGAATGAATACAGAAGGGCACTCTTTCTAATAGAATAAAGCGGCCACACATCTAAACAACGAAGATAAATTCTCCATCATAATGAACAACCCAAAGGAGGAAGTGATAAGAGCTTTGGCCAAATTCCTTAACCTCGCTTTTAAGAAAAGAAACTGTGCTACATTATCCACTTTGCGTTTTTGGTTAATAATTGATGAATAATTACTAAAAATGTTAAGGTTTACCTCACACAGTAGAAAAAAAGGCTCGTGCATAATTTTTATCTATATCTTAGTCATGAGGCAATACTTGTAGTATGCCAGGGGCGGATTTAGGGCGTCTTCTGGGTCTTCCGGAAGACGGTCAGATTTTCAAGTTTACATTGACGGGTATCTAATTTTTTCTGTCGGAAGACGGTCAGAAATGGAGGATGGATCAACAAAGATAATTTGGAAGACTGTCAGAAAATAACTCTGGATCCGCCCCTGATTATGGTGCTAGCTTACGATCAGTGCTGTGAGCAGCTGACTCGGCATTAAGACGGCACCAGGCTTATGATTATGAAATACAGGGCATGTACGTGTAATATCGGTGCATTTCTATAAATTTAATTTTGGCGCTATTTATCTATGTATTATTATTATTATTGTTATTATTATAATAACTTTATATCTGTACATTTTCACCAGCTCAGTATGAATAAATCATCAACGGAGTATAAAAGAATGTGCCTGCATGAGTGGCAGTTCAGTAATTTTTGGGGTAGGATATGCAAATCATCCCCTTCTCGCAAAAAGGGAGCCCAGAATGCCGAGAATGTCGATAATGGAAATTTCCACAATGCCAGGAAAAGGATACTGTATCTGTGGTGTTTGATGAATTTCATTGTAAGCATAAGAGGTTCAAGGCACAGAAGTGCCCAGCGCCATGTCATTGTGATTTTCCGTCATTGTCAGAAGGAATTGCCAACTGCTCTTACAGCCCAATCCGTGCCTTGCCCCTGGATATACCTATTTCACGTAACACAACTGCCCTGGATCTACGGTACACGGGTCCGACTAAGATCCCACCCAACGCTACCATCGCAACAAAGACTGTCCAATCGTAAAGCTCGATGGGAGAACAGGGAATTCCCCATAGCTCTTGGCGAACAAAAGATTTGTACACGCACGGGTTCTCCGAGTTTATTCCATAACATGAACATTGGGGAGAAAAAAGCACTGAGGATTTATTACAATTGTATGACAGTACAATATATCTTAAATAATGAATTTTGACATGTAGAAGCCTATACAAATCTATACATTTTTATGAGATGTCACTCTTTTACTGTTGCCGACTCTTAAACTTGGAAGCTTCGGAAGCGTGTAAGGGCCAACATTAAACTAATGGCAAAACAACACACATACATGTACATGTAACACCCGAACACAAACGTTACTGTCACAAGTGCATAAGGTCTAACTGTGGAAACGTTTTACTCACTTTGAAAACTCACACATCACTAGTTTTGTTGCCTACCAAATAATAATAATAATAATAATAATAATAATAATAATAATAATAATAATAATAAATAAATAAGTATGATAATCTTCTGCATATAGCAGTTAATTATTTGTTGAGCGACTTAAGTTTGCTTGACACTGAATATGAACAATAGGGATACACCATAATGACAGTAAGATTGGCATTACATAAAACTTTTTTCCACTCATGTCAGTGTCTAGTCACAGTAACGATGGTTGTTACGCCTGACCTTTTCTGGCTGCTACCAGGGCTCTCAAATGGCAGGGCATTCCTTGGGATAGGTTTTTAAAGTTCAATCTGGAATAACATTCCAGGCATTGGCCAAAATCTGTCCAATATGACCCAGTTTTGTTGTAGGACATGTAGGCCATTGATTCGGCAAGTAATGGCTGACCCACATATTGTGTATGTGGTTCAACTATGGCGATTTTGATGACCAAGATAGCTGTTCATTCCCTTGGTTCTGTAAGTAATCCGCTATTAAAAGTGATCTGCGTGAGCCGGCAATCTCACCGTGCAACCTAAAATTGTTCCCAAGTTGCCCCCTATCAAATGATAGCCAAGTGGTTCCCAGATTATTTCTTTATTTGATCTGGTTCAGGTTTTCGTCGATGACTACCATTGGTGTTTTGGCACCAATGTGGTATCCACTCCAAATACTGACGCTGTTAATGACCTTAGTCACTTAGGACGCGACACACGCTTTGTCGTTGGCCTCTTCTGGATGTCTGTAAACTCTGTTTTGGCTGTTGAGCGGTACAGGTGAAATCTGACCTCAGTAAAGAAAGCCACGAGATTTCAGTGTTCAACCCAGAAACAGTCAAGGCCCCCAATTCATTAGAGAAACATACAACGATGTTTTGCTGTTAACAGTGGGTTCCTCGGAGGTCGTCTGGTATTCTAAACTGCTAAAACCAGTTTGGTGTTCGCTAAGGGCCTTGAAAAATGCGTTTTGGTGGCAATGTACCCTTCATTCTGAACGGACTGGGTGTTTTTGTTTAATTGCAACAGCATAACTCGAAAGACAGTGGGTCCTGTACCCTGGTGCTAAGATTTCAATACATTGGTTGTACATCAGTCTGGGCATTACTCTATAAAACTTTGCGGACCGTTTCGTTTGGCGCAATTATCTGTCTGGCTATGCCTGCCTTTTTCGCGCCATTCTGCCACAGATTAACAAATTTGTAAAGCACTACATAGCTCATTTTACACACTGCAAACCCGACCACTTGCATGCAAAATTTCAAATTCTTCTATGCAGTAGTTGCCGACATATAGATACTTTTTTTGACAGAACCATGCTTTGCCAAAGCCATTTTTTACCTGCCCAAAGGAGCACTATCCAATTAAATCACTGCATATTACATAATGCAGCAGCGCAACAAACCTGGTATTCAGTTAATTGGTAGCGACACACCTGACTACACACTTCTACATTCACATATCTCATATGAGATCGTTTTTTTTTTTTTTTTTTTTTTTTTTGAAAAAAGAACGCATTTTCACCTAGGCATACCTTCGAAACCCGAAATATTCCATATTAAATGTCAAGTCTGTATATTGTTTGACAAACATGCCCTACTCGCAAATAGAGAGTCCACAATGCGGAAAATGTCGATAATAGAAATTTCCACAATGCAAGGAAAGAGTTACTTTAGGCTGTATCTGTGGTGTTTGATGAATGTCATTGTTAGTGTTGGAGATATGAAGGCACAGAGGTGGCCGGCGCCATGTCATTGTGATTTTACGTCCTTGTCACAGAAAATTGTCAATTGCTCTTACAGCCCAATCCGTGCCCTGGATATACGTATGCCACGTAATACAACTGTACTGGATCTACGCTACACCGGTCTGTCTGAGATCCCACCACGCGCATTGAGTCGACTCGAAAATCTGTATGCACTGTATTCAGGAGTCAACAGCATAAAACACTTTCATGAGGATAGTTTTGCAGCTTTATGGAATTTTGAGCACTTGGGTTTGTCTCCGCTTCTTTCAGACACGAATTATAATTATGAAATATTCCCAGTGAGCTTGTTTCGTGATTTAACACAGCACAGATGCAAAAATGTTATGTAGACCAAACAAAAGCTCCCTTACATCGATTGTTATAGGTGTTTTTTCCGAGTTACCAATACTGCATTTCGTATTTGATGAGAAATAAATATAATATTAATTCGAAAAAAAAAAATTAGTGGAAAATATCCCTGTACTAAATGAGTTTGCCTTCATTCAAGAGACAATATACTTACGTTGTATAACCTTAACAAAGACTGTCCAATCATAAAGTTCGATGGGTGAAAAGGGAATTCCCCACAGCTGTTGGCAAACAAAAGATTTGTACAAGTCCAAGGAGAGAATTTGTTACAGTTTTGTGAAAGCATAAGTTATTTGAATTACATGAATTAAAAAATGTAGAAGTATATAGAAATAATTTTTTTGGTGAATTTGGGGTGAGAGGGGTTGAGAACATGTTAACGCTTAACATATCTTTTCTCAAAAACCTCTTGCTGTGGTTGCAAGCGCACTCCCCCTCCTTCCTGCTGCATTCGCCATTTTGTTTGTTCTAAGGTTTCCTTATCTTTTTTTTCTCACATGCTTTACTTTGATCAATGCGTTCTGATTTCAGCAAATGTTAAAAAACAACATTTTGCAAGATATTAAAGAGGAGCGGTGTTCCATACTCGTGGGATTGTGACTTGTGTTTGTGAACATAAACGAGCGCAATGTAAACACAGTGTTGATTCTACACACTAAACGTTTTTTATAAGTCTGTTGAAACCTATAGAAGTTTTCTTTTAATAAATGTCAACCGATCTCTGCAAAACCAGGAAGAAAAATATATTAGAGAAGTGGCCCAGAGAAAGCAATATATTTAGTGAACTGTTCGTGTATAAAGCAATCCTAGTCACAATCAAAAAAGAAGAGTAATGCGATATGCTAGATAAGATGAATGTTCAGGTAGCCCATACATAAAAGCCTGTGAAAAGCCTGTCGCCATGATTTGGCCCCATCTTAAGAAGAAGAGAGTTTCATTGTATATTAAAAGAGAATGTGACTGAATGAGGGGCATTTTAGAAGTATTTTTTGTGCATGAAAAGAATGTCCAGAATTGAAATTTCCACGATGCCAGGAAAATGTTACTTTATACTGTATCTGTGGTGTGTAATGAATTTCATCGTTAGTACTGGAGGTTTCAAGGCAAAGAGATGCCCGACGCCATGTCAATGTGATTTTACGTCTTTGTCACATGGAATTGTCAACTGCTCTTACAGCCTAATCCGTGCCCTGCCCCTGGATATACCTATACCACGTAATACAACTGTACTGGATCTACGGTACACCGGTCTGCCTGAGATCCCACCGCACGCATTTAGTCACCTGGAGAATCTAAAAGTACTGTATGTCGGAGGGAACGATATTACACACTTTCATGAGGATAGTTTTGCAGGTTTATGGCATTTGGAACTATTAGATTTGTCTCCACTTCACTCGGACATGAACTTTGATTATGAAGCATTCCCTGCAAACTTGTTTCGTGATTTAATCTTGTTAGAAGTTCTGATATTCGGAAAGATGGGCATCAGTGTACAGGTGCAACAAGGCTATATAGACCAAACCTTAGCTCCCTTGCATCAATTGCAAAAGGTGACCTTTCCAAGTCTTCTGGGAGGAGATTCACCATTTGGTTGCGGATACAACAATCTTACTTCACTGAAAACAGTGGTGTTTCATGGAGTTGGATATGTAACGAACATAAGAAAGCACACCTTTGCCATGTTAAAAAACTGTCCTATCGAACGGCTAGCTTTCATTAACTGTGGACTGGACACCATAGAATATGGCGCATTGTCTTCATTTCCACATTTGAAAGCATTGGACATAGAGTTGGCCTACTTTATATCAATCACAGAGGCCGAGAAGTTTATATGTGACCTGAACAATACAGCAATTGAAGTTCTTCGCATGAACAACATATTCGCATGGCGAAATGGGAAACCAAGTGTTCCACAGTGGATTGTGTCTGCTAATACTTTTCAATGTTTGAAACACACATCACTTATGACATTGGAATTATTGCACAATAGAATTGAAGCAATCGACTTTCAAATTTTAAATATTCTGACTAATTTAGAATATTTAGATTTGTCTGGTAACAACATTTTATTTGTCTTAGAAAATGGAATAGAGCTAGTTAGATATGAAAGAATGTTTACCCAAATGTTAAAGACAAACCTAACTCTTTGCAGGATAGACCACAATATTAATCTCGCGCATATGGTGACATCTCAAGATGTTCCATCAAACTCCTTTTGGTATGGCCGTCCAAAAGTTCCTTTAGAACCAGCTAAATACTCGTATGCCAGCCCAACCCACAAAACCAAAACCCACAAAACACATGATTTTCGTTTAGAGCTCCCAATTTTGAAAATAATTTTGCCTGAAAATTTAGAATACGTGTCCGTAAGCTGGTTGGCTACACATAATAATAATATTTTCCCATGTGGGACATTTAAGGGGTCTTTTTATTTCTTTCCAAACAAGCTCAGATATCTCAGAATAGAGGAAGTGAATTTAAAAACTATTTGTGCCCCATTTTATGGCTTAGATTGGCTAGAATTTCTGGATTTATCTTATAATGGTGTTTACTTCCTTCCAAAAAGTTTTTTTGATAATTTCATCTCACTGATTTACTTGTATCTGAAAGACAACAATTTAGGACCTTTGTTAGCTAAAGGTGGTCTACATCCCATGTATCTTCCGCTCTTAGAAATCCTCGATTTATCAGTGAACAAAATCAGCACAATACCAAAGGACTTTTTCCGCTATCTTGAATCCTTGAAACGACTGGACCTCAGTGACAATCGAATATCAAAAATATATTTTACTACGACAAATTTTCACTCCATAGAATTCATAGACATAAGCACTAATCAACTAACTGCCTTATCGTTATCGGAGTTGGAACACATTAGGAATGTGAATGCCAGTAATTTGGATGTTGCTTTGAACATGAGCAACAACCCCATGGACTGCAACGTTTGCGACGGGATAGGATTTCTCCACTTGATTATCCATTCCAACATGACGACAATATTCTCCAACGACTCCACTTGTTATGTGAATGGATCTAAAACAAGCTTATTGAGCAGCCTGAGTAGACTTGAGAGGGCATGCGACAGCTTTTCACAGTCAAACATTTCATCAAACCAGTGGCTTTCCTTTGGAGCATCTCTTGGTAGCATATCTGCTGTGGCCTGTAGTCTTATAGTAGCTTACATTTACCGTTGGAATATCAAGTAAGTTGACTTGTGAGTGGTAAAAAGGTTTAATTTAATAGTCATTAAACATATATCGAAAGTGCTCACAAAATAGAATTTAACACAGAAAAATTGTGATTATATATAATAATGTTTATTGTACTCTCTTTGCAATATAAACCAAGCATAACGAATGGATATAGAAAATACAGTATTAAAATGAATATAAAATGAAATAGTTAAAATAAAATATAGTTAAGTCATCCATTGAAAACTAATAATCAATGCAAAGACACAAATCATTGAAACGTGTGTCAGCAGTATGTGTAAAAAGTTATTTAACGTTAAGTGTAACGTTTCAGTAAAACATTTGTAATGGTTCCCGAGTACCTATTTGTTTTTTCTCTCAATTTCATAGATACCGCTTCTTCCTTCTTCGCCGCCATTTTCGAAATAGAGGTGTCATTACTGCAACACCTGGTCACGTGTACGCCTCCTATGACGACAACGATTATTACTGGGTAACGCACGTACTGTTGCGCCATTTAGAAGATGAGGATCAACTTGATGTCATTATAGATCAAAGAGATTTCATTGGTGGCGCTTCCCTTTCCGAGGCCATCGTAGAGGCCGTGGAAAACAGCAGAAAAACAGTGCTTGTTCTGTCTGAGAGCTACGTTCTCAATCCTTGGTGTGAGTTTGAGTTTCAGATGTCCCTTGCTCGTAGTTATCAATCAGTAATCCCGGTTATGTTTCAACCTGTGCCATTTGATGCTATGACGAAATCGCTGCGAAAGTACATTAGGGCAAGAGGGTATATCAAGTGGACTGACAACCCAGAGGGACAACGTTTGTTCTGGAAACGCCTCTCCGACGTCATCTTTGATGAGAATAATATACTTACGCAACCCGAGAAAGATGAATTGACTGAACTCATGTAGATGATGAAATTTGGTTTTATACTGTTGTGTATTGAATATATTCCATCACTGTATATTACGGACTAAAAGCGTAGTTTGTTTTCCTGTTCTTAAACATCTGGACGCAAATGTAATGTTACCATCGCCTATTAGCATAATACATACTTTACTGAGGTATGCAAAGGATACAGAAGTATATATATAATATATTTGTAAAAGATCTCTATAAAACACCAAATGGTGAACAAAAATTGAGTGTTAGAATACCATGGCAACAAACGTACAAAAAATTACTTGTTAATGGGGAGGAAGTGAGTTTAAAGTAGTTCAGATAAATGACAATATATAGAATTTTGGGTAATAGAGCTTACTTAAATGCAAAATTATTGATAATCAATACTTCTATAAGATTTTAAAACTAATAAGTGCGCATTTATTGGCTGCGAAATAGTTGGGCATTTTGTGGATAGAAGTGAAACAATGGATACATCAATCGACCACAGTTTAACAGTATCCTATTTCGAGATTACTGTGGAAAGTAGTAAATATGTGAAAAATATTTTGAATTAAACTTAACCTTAAGTCGATTTTTTCTCTTTCTATATGCGGAAGTGAGTATATCATTTCGTACTTGATGAGAAATAAATAGAGCGATTGCAAGAATAATTCTGCATTAATATTGCCCTTATATAAGAGTCAATATACTTACTATGTACCACCTTAACAAGGACTGTCCAATCATAAAGTTTGATGGGTAAACGGGGAATTCTCCACAGCTGTTGGCGAACAAAAGATTTGTACAGGTACGTGTTTTCCTATTTAATTCCGCAAAATGAACAGAGAGAGAGAAAGATACATCTGAGGATTTGTAACAATTGTGTGACAGTTTAAGTTATTTGAAGTAAATGCATATTAATATGTAGATGCCATACATTAATACATATTTTGTGCCGTCACTCTATTACTTTTCGCCTTTGCCGACTCTTGTATCAAAGAATCCAGTTGTAACGGATAGTCCTATGGAAACAGGAAAATTGAATCTTTCATTATTATTAGCACGATATTATTTAATAATACAATATGCACGGCGATTAACCTAAAGAGGCTTAGCACTGTTCTTAAAGTATAATTAAAGCCTGAGAGAAATTTGATATAAACATTTCTCACTTTAATTTTTTAAAAATCTTTTACGAAAGAAATAATTATGTTTAAGACACTTGTTAAAAAGGTTTTTATACATGTAAATACTAGGCTTGGAGCAAGAGAAGAAAAAAGCCATCAAAACCACATAGCATATTGCTGCCCCTGAAACTATGTTCATGTATGTATTGGTGCACGTGGTAGCTGGAAAAATGTTAAGGATGTCAGGAAAAAGTGGGAATTGCTTTTTATTTTATTATTTTATTTATTTTATTATTATTATTATTTATTTTTTTTTTGGGGGGGGGGGAGGCTCCTTGGTATTTCATGTCATTGTTGTTCCCTGCATCCAGATGGGAGATGGGAGAAGAAGGTATTAAAAACAATCCATGCATTATTGTCTTAAAAACATAATTCCTCCGACGATTCTACTTCCTCTTTCGTTTTTATAATTATTCATAAGCAACACGTATGTTTATTTGTAAGTAGCAGATATTTATTGGGCGAGTGGAAACTAGACTGGGAATAACTGAACTTGTAAGTACAGGCTTTCACAGGACAAAATATTGATGTTGAGTAGAAGTAGAAATATGCAGCATTTTACTCAGGAGTAAATTGTACCTTCAATAAGCCTGACCTTCATTGAAGTATTAAAACTCGTTTTATCCAACGCAACAACAAAGGCTATCCAATCATAAGGAGCGGGAGTACATGAGGGAATCCCCCACAGCTGTGGGCGAACAAAAATGTGTACACGCATGGATTCTCTAAGTTATAATCAAATAAAAAAAGTGCATAAGAAAGGTGTGCTCGAGGGTTTGTGCCGGTTGAGTGAAACATGATAAGCAATTTGACGTTATAATCATACAGAGGCCTGTATAGACCATTTGTATAAGACGTCACGCTTCCATTGTTGCTGATGGCTTGTCACTGATAACATGATGATGACTAAGCATCCCTCTAGAAGTTAACTGAAATCCTCAATGAGCTCTGATGGAAGACTTCAACCTTTTTTCTAGAGAAAGTTTGTTATGTAGCACAGTGTATAGTTACATGTCTATAACATTTCAAAAATTATACATAAAATTATACATGAAGTGAATATGAAAGAAGTTTAGCTAATCCTATATCAGGTGTTAGGCATAAAAAAGAGAAGAAAAAAGGCCACTAAAACCTCATAGGATATCTTTGCTTTTGAATCTATACATGTATATCCTCTAACAATGTCACAGATAGATTTTAACTAGACATTCAAAGATATGTCTTTGCATGCTCTTGCTAGTTCTCTGCACATTCATGCACAGCAAAATTTATGTATGGAATATACAACATCACTCATCTGGCCTCTAGCAAAGAAAACATGTATATGGTAGTGGTTCTTTGAAAAAAAAATGGTTCATAATGCCAGGACAAATCGTGAATATTTAAGAGGCAACCGCTTTACTATTGAGATTCCATTACTGTTCCAGTATCTTAATAATAGAAAAAAGTTATCACTAAAATTTGAAACTCGGGGTAATGTAGTGATATCATTGCAAAAGGTCTATATATAAAACTGTGGTTTAGCTGACAGCATAAAAAACTATTCGTATTTTGAATGAAAACGAAACGGGAAGAATGCCCCTTCAATTCATGTGAATCTACAGTACTAATACCAGGAAAGTGAAACATGAGAAGCAGCAAATAGTTGTCAGGTATTAGGGGGAAAAATGAAGACAAGGGACCACGAAGGTGCACTACTTACGTGTCATAACAGATGTAAGAAGATGTGTAAAGAATAAATAGGTGGGGCATGGGGAAGCACATCAGTCGTCAAGGGTGTCAGTTCAGTAATACTAGTATTTTTCGCTACCAGTGGGATATAAAGATTTGAGAGTCACAGTGTGGAGAATGGAAGTTTTCTCAGTACCAAGAAAATGTTATTATTTGCTGTATCAGTGGTGTTTGGTCTCTGTCTTTGTTAGTATTGGCGGATACAAGGCTCAGAGGTGTCCGGCGCCATGTCATTGTGATTTTACGTCTTTGTCACAGGGAATTGTCAACTGCTCTTACAGTCCAATCCGTGCCCTGTCCCTGGATATACTTATTCCACGTAACACAACTGTGCTGGATCTACGTTACACCGGTCTGACTGAGATCCCACCGCACGCATTTAGTCAACTGGAGAATTTAAAAGTACTGTACGTCGGAGGGAACGATATTACACACTTTCATGAGGATAGTTTTGCAGGTTTATGGAATATGGAACACTTGGATTTGTCTCCACTTCATCCGGACACAAATTTTGATTATGAAGCCTTCCCCGTGAACTTGTTCTACAACTTAACAATGTTACAAGTTCTGATATTTGGAGAAATGAGTACCGGCGCGCTGGTGCAGCAGGATTATTTAGACCAAACAATAGCTCCCTTACATCGATTGCAGCAGTTGTATATTCCAGGTCTACTTTGGCACAATTTGACATTTGGCACCGGTTATAGCAAACTCACTTCACTTCGAACAGTGATGTTTAAAGGAGATGGAAGTAAAACATACCTAAGAAGACGCGATTTTGTCAAATTAAAAAATTGTCCTATCGAACGTCTGGCTTTCATAGGCTGTGGACTTAGCGGTGTAGAATACGGTACACTGTCTTCATTTCCTCAATTGAAAACACTGGACATTGAGGTTGCTAACTTTATCTCAGTGAGAGAGGTCGAGCAGTTTATCTGTGACCTCAAGAATACCTCAATAGAATCACTTCGCTTGTGCAACATATTTTCAAGACAACAAGGGAAGGCGCCGGTTTCACAGTGGCTTGTGTCTGCTAACACTTTTCACTGTTTGAAAAACACATCACTTAAGACGTTGGAATTATTGCGTGATAGAATTGAAGCGTTTGACTATCAAAATCTTCTTTTTCTGACTCATTTAGAATATGTAGATTTGTCTGGTAACAACCTTTTATTTTCCTTACAAAATGGTTCAGACATAAATGGTTGGCGTCCTATTGCCCGTACACTTCTATTACTTCCTAACTTAGTCTTTTTAAGGATTGACAACAATCTTCATGACACAACTAAGGTTACTGCCCAAGATATTCCACCATACTCCTTTTGGTATGGCCGTCCAGAGGTACCTTTAGAACGCGCCAAACATGTAAGTCCTTTGCACAAAGTACATCAAGACCCCTTACACAACTTAGAATTGCAGTACCCGATTTTGAAATTTAGTTTGCCAGAAAATTTAGAATTTTGGTGTACCAGCTGGTGGGCTTCGCTTAATTATGATGTTGTCAAATATGGCACAGTCCATGGCTCAATTGTATTCTCTCCAAACAAGCTTAGATATCTCAAATTAGAGGGCATACCACTTCAAGCTTTTACTTACGTCATTTATGGTTTAGATAGACTGGAGTTTCTGGATATTTCTCATGGTGGTTGGTACTTTATACCAAAAACTTTTTTCAATAATTTCATCTCACTGATATACTTATATCTGAAAGATAACAATTTAGGACCTTTGATTGCTAAAGGTGGCCTACATCCAATGCAACTCCCCCATTTAGAAATCCTCGATTTATCAGTGAACAAAATCAGCACAATACCAAAAGACTTTTTTGGCTATCTTGTATCCTTGAGACGGCTGGACATCAGCGACAATCGAATATCAAAATTATCCTTTACCATGACAAATTTTCACTCTATAGAATTCATAGATATAAGCACTAATCAACTAACTGCCTTGTCGACATCGGAGTTGGACTTCATTAGGAAGATGAATGCCAGTAGTTTGAATGTTACTTTGAACGTAATCAACAATCCCATGGACTGCAACGTTTGTGACCGGATAGGATTTCTCCACTGGATTGTCTATTCCAATATGACGATAATATTCTCCAACGACTCCACTTGCTACGTGAACGGATCTAAGACAGGCTTAGAGAGTAGCCTCAGAAGACTTGAGAGGGAATGCGACAGCTCTCCACAGACGATCATTTCATCAAACCAGTGGCTTTCCTTTGGAGCATCTCTTGGTAGCATATCTGCTGTGGCCTGTGGTCTTATAGTAGCTTACATTTACCGTTGGAATATCAAGTAAGTTAAAGTATGAGTGCACGTTAAGGGGATAAAATTTCATGTTGATTAAAAATATCTAAAATGGGAACGAAATACAATTTTACACAGTAAAGTTATATATTTGAGACTCAAGAAATAGCACAACTATTCTAATGTTCCCTTATATGTGAACGACCACTTTTGCACTAAATGCTCATATTTCATTGGCACGATAAATTGGTATAAAAAAGGTTTGGTGACTGTAGCTACCTGATTCATAAGGCAAATAAGTGCTGATTATGGAATAAGACAACATAGAAATACATTCACACGTGGCACTTGTATAGAAACGGCTCTAAATTGTTTACAATACTGGCGTTGACAATACAATTAAAGCCGGTGTAACGAAACTGAGGGTCTGTGTCACAGAAAGTCCACCATCCATTTAGTTATAATGGTTAGGATTAGTCTGACCTAAGTGGGTCAAAATCTAGGGCGAGGCTCACCTATTTATGGGGGACTCTCTGTCACGTTACACCGGATATATTGGTGTCCAGTGCACACAGTGCCCCTTTCTTTCCGTAACCCTACTGTGGGTTTTAAGCAGACTAAAAAAAATCAATGTGACACTGCCAAAAACTTGAAAAAACACAATACTGGGTCAAAATTTTATTAAGACACCACAAAATGAGCAACCTTTCAGAAGTACAATTAGACTCTTATAAACAGCTTAACTGTCCATAAGAAATTGAATCAGTTCAATCAGCAAAAACGTAATTAACCTTTACTTAGAATACAGAACTATATCAACCAGTTCACATGTGAAGTGACTTACATTTGAAAGGCCCCTATACAGTTTTTGCGACACCTTCGATGTAACGCGCTATCGGGTATATAATAGCACAAGAAAAAATAAATCGGATATGTGTAGAAAATAAAGAAATCTTATTTTACTCCGTTAATATTTTAGATACCGCTTCTTCCTTCTTCGCCGCCGTTTTCGAAAGAGAGGTGTCATTACTGCAACACCTGGTCACGTGTACGCCTCCTATGACGACAACGATTATTACTGGGTGACGCACGTGTTGTTGCGTCATCTAGAAGATGAGGATCAACTTGATGTCATCATAGATCAAAGAGATTTCATTGGTGGCGCTTCCCTTTCCGAGGCCATCGTAGAGGCTGTGGAAAACAGCAGAAAAACAGTGCTTGTTCTGTCTGAGAGCTACGTTCTCAATCCTTGGTGTGAGTTTGAGTTTCAGATGTCCCTTGCTCGTGGTTATCAATCAGTAATCCCGGTTATGTTTCAACCTGTGCCATTTGATGCTATGACGAAATCGCTGCGAAAGTATATTAGGGCAAGAGGGTATATAAAGTGGACTGAGNCACAGCTGTTGGCGAACAAAAGATTTGTACAGGTACGTGTTTTCCTATTTAATTCCGCAAAATGAACAGAGAGAGAGAAAGATACATCTGAGGATTTGTAACAATTGTGTGACAGTTTAAGTTATTTGAAGTAAATGCATATTAATATGTAGATGCCATACATTAATACATATTTTGTGCCGTCACTCTATTACTTTTCGCCTTTGCCGACTCTTGTATCCAGTTGTAACGGATAGTCCTATGGAAACAGGAAAATTGAATCTTTCATTATTATTAGCACAATATTATTTAATAATACAATATGCACGGCGATTAACCTAAAGAGGCTTAGCACTGTTCTTAAAGTATAATTAAAGCCTGAGAGAAATTTGATATAAACATTTCTCACTTTAATTTTTTAAAAATCTTTTACGAAAGAAATAATTATGTTTAAGACACTTGTTAAAAAGGTTTTTATACATGTACATACTAGGCTTGGAGCAAGAGAAGAAAAAAGCCATCAAAACCACATAGCATATTGCTGCCCCTGAAACATGTATGTATTGGTGCACGTGGTAGCTGGAAAAATGTTAAGGATGTCAGGAAAAATTGGGAATTGCTTTTTATTTTATTATTATTATTTTTTTTTGAGGCTCCTTGGTATTTCATGTCATTGTTGTTCCCTGCATCCAGATGGGAGATGGGAGAAGAAGGTATTAAAAACAATCCATGCATTATTGTCTTAAAAACATAATTCCTCCGACGATTCTACTTCCTCTTTCGTTTTTATAATTATTCATAAGCAACACGTATGTTTATTTGTAAGTAGCAGATATTTATTGGGCGAGTGGGAACTAGACTGGGAATAACTGAACTTGTAAGTACAGGCTTTCACAGGACAAAATATTGATGTTGAGTAGAAGTAGAAATATGCAGCATTTTACTCAGGAGTAAATTGTACCTTCAATAAGCCTGACCTTCATTGAAGTATTAAAACTCGTTTTATCCAACGCAACAACAAAGGCTATCCAATCATAAGGAGCGGGAGTACATGAGGGAATCCCCCACAGCTGTGGGCGAACAAAAATGTGTACACGCATGGATTCTCTAAGTTATAATCAAATAAAAAAAGTGCATAAGAAAGGTGTGCTCGAGGGTTTGTGCCGGTTGAGTGAAACATGATAAGCAATTTGACGTTATAATCATACAGAGGCCTGTATAGACCATTTGTATAAGACGTCACGCTTCCATTGTTGCTGATGGCTTGTCACTGATAACATGATGATGACTAAGCATCCCTCTAGAAGTTAACTGAAATCCTCAATGAGCTCTGATGGAAGACTTCAACCTTTTTTCTAGAGAAAGTTTGTTATGTAGCACAGTGTATAGTTACATGTCTATAACTTTTCAAAAAATATACATAAAATTATACATGAAGTGAATATGAAAGAAGTTTAGCTAATCCTATATCAGGTGCTAGGCATAAAAAAGAGAAGAAAAGGGCCACTAAAACCTCATAGGATATCTTTGCTTTTGAATCTATACATGTATATCCTCTAACAATGTCACAGATAGATTTTAACTAGACATTCAAAGATATGTCTTTGCATGCTCTTGCTAGTTCTCTGCACATTCATGCACAGCAAAAATTTATGTATGGAATATACAACATCACTCATCTGGCCTCTAGCAAAGAAAACACATGTATATGGTAGTGGTTCTTTGAAAAAAAAATCGTTCATAATGCCAGGACAAATCGTGAATATTTAAGAGGCAACCGCTTTACTATTGAGATTCCATTACTGTTCCAGTATCTTAATAATAGAAAAAAAGTTATCACTTACATTTGAAACTCGGGGTGGATGTAGTGATATCATCGCAAAAGGTCTATATATAAACTGTGGTTTGGCTGACAGCATAAAAAACTATTCGTATTTTGAATGAAAACGAAACGGGAAGAATGTCCTTTCAATTCATGTGAATCTACAGTACTAATACCAGGAAAGTGAAACATGAGAAGCAGCAAATAGTTGTCAGGTATTAGGGGGAAAAATGAAGACAAGGGACCAGGAAGGTGCACTACGTACGTGTCATAACAGATGTAAGAAGATGTGTAAAGAAAAAATAGGTGGGGCATGGGGAAGCACATCAGTCGTCAAGGGTGTCAGTTCAGTAATACTAGTATTCTTGGCTACCAGTAGGATATAAAGATTCGAGAATGTCGAGAATGGAAGTTTTCCCAGTGCCAAGAAAATGTTATTTTTTGCTGTATCAGTGGTGTTTGGTCTCTGTCATTGTTAGTACTGGCGGATACAAGGCTCAGAGGTGCCCGGCGCCGTGTCATTGTGATTTTACGTCTTTGTCACTGGGAATTGTCAACTGCTCTTACAGTCCAATCCGTGCCCTGTCCCTCGATATACTTATTCCACGTAACACAACTGTGCTGGATCTACGTTACACCGGTCTGACTGAGATCCCACCGCACGCATTTAGTCAACTGGAGAATTTAAAAGTACTGTACGTCGGAGGGAACGATATTACACACTTTCATGAGGATAGTTTTGCAGGTTTATGGAATTTAGAACACTTAGATTTGTCTCCACTTCATCCAGGCACAAATTTTGATTATGAAGCGTTCCCCGTGAACTTGTTCCACAATTTAACAATGTTAGAAGTTCTGATATTTGGAGAAATGAGCACCGGCGCGCTGGTGCAGCAGGATTATTTAGACCAAACAATAGCTCCCTTACATCGATTGCAACAGTTGTATATTCCAGGTCTACTTTGGCACAATTTGAGATTTGGTCCTGGTTACAGCAATCTCACGTCACTTCGAACTGTGATGTTCAAAGGAGATGGAAGTAAAACATACCTAAGAAGACGCGATTTTGTCAATTTAAAAAATTGTCCTATCGAACGTCTGGCTTTCATAGGCTGTGGACTTAGCGGTGTAGAATACGGTACACTGTCTTCATTTCCTCAATTGAAAACACTGGACATTGAGGTTGCTAACTTTATCTCAGTGAGAGAGGTCGAGCAGTTTATCTGTGACCTCAAGAATACCTCAATAGAATCACTTCGCTTGTGCAACATATTTTCAAGACAACAAGGGAAAGCGCCGGTTTCACAGTGGGTTGTGTCTGCTAACACTTTTCACTGTTTGAAAAACACATCACTTAAGACGTTGGAATTATTGCGTGATAGAATTGAAGCGTTTGACTATCAAAATCTTCTTTTTCTGACTCATTTAGAATATGTAGATTTGTCTGGTAACAACCTTTTATTTTCCTTACAAAATGGTTCAGACATAAATGGTTGGCGTCCTATAGCCCGTACACTTCTATTACTTCCTAACTTAGTCTTTTTAAGGATTGACAACAATCTTCATGACACAACTAAGGTGACTGCCCAAGATATTCCACCATACTCCTTTTGGTATGGCCGTCCAGAGGTACCTTTAGAACCAGCCAAACATGTAAGTCCTTTGCACAAAGTACATCAAGACCCCTTACACAACTTAGATTTACAGTACCCGATTTTGAAAGTTAGTTTGCCTGAAAATTTAGAATTTTGGTGTACCAGCTGGTGGGCTTCGCTTACTTATGATATTGTCAATTATGACACAGTCCAGGGGTCAATTCTATTCTCTCCAAACAAGCTTAGATATCTCAAATTAGAGGGCATACCACTTAAAGCCCTTCCTTACGTCATTTATGGTTTAGATAGACTTGAGTTTCTGGATATTTCTCATGGTGGTTGGTACTTTGTTCCAAAAACTTTTTTCAATAATTTCATCTCACTGATATACCTGTATTTGAAAGATAACAATTTAGGACCTTTGATTGCTAAAGGTGGTCTACATCCAATGCAACTCTCACATTTAGAAATCCTCGATTTATCAGTGAACAAAATAAGCACAATACCAAAAGACTTTTTCCGCTATCTTGTATCCTTAAAACGACTGGACATCAGCGACAATCGGATATCAAAATTATCTTTTACCATGACAAATTTTCACTCCATAGAACTCATAGATATAAGCACTAATCAACTAACTACCTTGTCGACATCGGAGTTGGACTTCATTAGGAAGATGAATGCCAGTAGTTTGAATGTTACTTTGAACGTAATCAACAATCCCATGGACTGCAACGTTTGTGACGGGAGAGGATTTCTCCACTGGATTGTCTCTTCCAATATGACGATTATATTCTCCAACGACTCCACTTGCTACGTGAACGGATCTAAGACAAGCTTAGAGAGTAGCCTGAGAAGACTTGAGAGGGAATGCGACAGCTCTCCACAGACGATCATTTCATCAAACCAGTGGCTTTCCTTGGGAGCATCTATTGGTAGCATATCTGCTGTTGCCTGTGGTCTTATAGTAGCTTACATTTACCGTTGGAATATTAAGTAAGTTAAAGTACGAGTGTATGTTAAGGGGATAAAATTTCATGTTGATTAAAAATATCTAAAATGCGAACGAAATACAATTTTACACAGTAAAGTTATATATTTGAGACTCAAGAAATAGCACAACTATTCTAATGTTCCCTTATATATGAACGACCACTTTTGCACTAAATGCTCATATTTCATTGGCACGATAAATTGGTATCAAAAAGGTGTGGTGACTGTAGCTACCTGATTCATAAGGCAAATTAGTGCTGATTACGGAATAAGACAACATAGAAATACTTTCACACGTGGCACTTGTATAGAAACGGCTCTAAATTGTTTACAATACTGGCGTTGACAATACAATTAAAGCCGGTGTAACGAAACTGAGGGTCTATGTAACAGAAAGTTCACCCTCCATATAGTTATAATGGTTAGGGATAGTCTGACCTAAGTGGGTCAAAATCTAGGGCGAGGCTCACCTGCACAAATGAATAGGAAGCGGACTCTCTGTTATGGGGGACTCTCTGTCACGTTTCACCGGATATATTGGTGCCCAGTGCACACTGACTCTTTTCTTTCCGTAATCCTACTGTGGGTTTTAAGCAGACTAAAAAACTCAATGTGACTCTGCCAAAAACTTGAAAAAAAAAAAAAAAAAAAAAAAAAAAAAAAAAAAAAAAACAATACTGGGTCAAAATTTTATTAAGACACCACAAAAATGAGCAACCTTTCAGAAGTACAATTAGACCCTTATAAACAGCTTAACTATCCATAAGAAATTGAATCAGCAAAAACCTTTACTTAGAATACAGAACTATAACAACCAGTTCACATGTGAAGTGACTTACATTTGAAAGGCCCCTATACTGTTTTTGAGACACCTTCGATGTAACGCGCTATCGGGTATTTAGTAGCACAAGAAAAAATAAATCGGATATGTGTAGAAAATAAAGAAATCTTATTTTACTCCGTTAATATTTTAGATACCGCTTCTTCCTTCTTCGCCGCCGTTTTCGAAAGAGAGGTGTCATTACTGCAACACCTGGTCACGTGTACGCCTCCTATGACGACAACGATTATTACTGGGTGACGCACGTGCTGTTGCGTCATCTAGAAGATGAGGATCAACTTGATGTCATCATAGATCAAAGAGATTTCATTGGTGGTGCTTCACTTTCCGAGGCCATCGTAGAGGCTGTGGAAAACAGCAGGAAAACAGTACTTGTTCTGTCTGAGAGCTACGTTCTCAATCCTTGGTGTGAGTTTGAGTTTCAGATGTCCCTTGCTCGTAGTTATCAATCAGTAATCCCGGTTATGTTTCAGCCTGTGCCATTTGATGCTATGACGAAATCGCTGCGAAAGTACATTAGGGCAAGAGGGTATATAAAGTGGACTGACAACCCAGAAGGACAACGTTTGTTCTGGAATCGCCTCTCCGACGCAATATTTGATGTGAATAATCCACTTGAGCAAGTTGATGAAGACGAGATAACTTAACTTATGTGACTGAAGGTTTTGTTTTTTTGTACTGTTTTGATAACATGTACTTGTGGCTTATGTATTGTAGATCTGATCGAAAAACTGTGTGGATTTATTGAGCAAGTCAACCGGGAAATTAACAATATTACTGTTGTCGCATGAAGTGGCACCAACTTAAATGATCTAGTTGTTCATTAAGTTCCTACCAGACACTTGCGATCAGTAGATCGACTGTTACTTAAACCTGAAAGAAATGCGCCTTTAAACTCATGGGGACATCCCTTTTAAGTCAGCTGGTCCAGTGGGTATATGCTACCAATTTAAATCCACTCAATTGAATTAACTCATAATTTTAAAAAGGAGTTCAAAACCTTTTCAGGAAATGTTATTAATTATTATCTTAATTGTAATTGGCTTTATGTTAGGATTTGGTAGTTTTTTTTTGTACTGTACATGAATCGACTGACAATTTTAAAAATGATTTTGACACATCTTTTTAGGAAATGTATTTATTTATTATCTAAATAGTAATTGGCCTTATGTGAGGATTAGATTGTTTTTTAATCTACAATGTTAAGCTTTTTAAATATTTTTTACACATCTTGGTAATTATTATCTTAGGTTCTTGTTTTATGTAGAGTTTACTGAATATTTTAAATGGATTTTAGACATTAAGGATTATTATCATATATTATGTCTTTGTTGCATCAATGGATATTTTAACCGAAATGAAGTAGAAATAAGTGCAACACTGTAGTCGTATGGACGTTTCTTGTGTCATTCTTTTCATTTTAATATTGTTAATATGTAGTGTAAAGTTTAAATTGCTGGAAGAATCTTTAAAGCTGTTAAAGCGCCAATATTTGAACCAAACGTTTAACTTGAATACTAGTCCAATACGGTCCTCACGGGCGGATCCAGAATTCTGATAAGGAAGTGGAGAAGAGGTCACAAAGAAAATAGTTTTGCATACTGAATTGCACAGTAGACGAAGACAATTTTACATTGTGAAAAATACAAAGGAGGTAATGTACAGGGTTTGAAAATTGTTTTGTTTTAAGGTGAGGGTGAAGGGTGTGAACTTCACAAATAATGTTGAGGACACGTCATCTTGAAATCAGAAGTTATCATAGTTCTAAAACCGTACAAAATGGCACCGTTCGACCTCTAAAATAAGAATTTTTTCGGAACCCTTCATCGGGTCCCGAACACCATGGCAAGGGAGTGGGGGGGGGGGGGGTCAACTTCGCATCCGCGGATCCCCCTTTCAAATAATCCTGGAACCGCCCCTAATCCCCTCCCTATCAGGAGGCTCCCATAGAAGTCTCAGTACGTTTCTTATCCTGGTCATATGCTGGATCCTTGGGTGCAGACTGAGAGCTTGGATAGTTTTTGATCATACACATATAAAATCAGAAATAAGAGAAAAAGGTAAAAACAGACCATGTTAATAAGTATGTTAACGAGCTCGACTAATCCCACTTTTTGGATTTTTTTCAAATAAAAATGGCTACTTTTAAATTCAGTAACTATGCGCAACAAACATCAAATATCTTATACAAAGGAAATCGAAATGGTTAACCAACTCTGGTTTCAAAGAGTTAAACAACGTAATTTCTGGCTTAATGAAAATCCCCCCCCCCCCCCCCCCGAAAAAAAATTGAGTGTCAAGGCTACCCATAGTTTTAATTTTACTATTACTATGCAACTAATCATTTTGCAAATTGGAGATATGAGTAGTAAAACATTGGCCTACCAATATAGGCCTAATCATTGAAGTAATCCAACACTTTTAATATTTTAATGTGGCTCCTAAGTGACGATACATTTTTTTTACCAAGCGGTTGACATAGAAGGGAGTTTTGACCCGCCGAATTGCCAGAAGGTTGGGTTTTTCCTAAGAACAATTCACAGTGTTAGACAACATCATAACCAAACAGGCACATGGGTAAAATTGCCTGGGTAGGGCCGACCGAAAGAAACCACACCCCGAGGAGAGAGAGAGAGTGTTGATACGCCTTCCTCGCAGAAAACGTTTCATGACTTTTGAGGAACTCGGCTGCAACAATTAACAAGAAACGGACACACCATGTCTCTGAGTATACCGTCAGAAGACGTCTCCACCATCGCCGTTATTTCAGCAGGGTTAATTTCTGTTAGGAGACCAGTGACCACTGCCAGTAATCGTCTACGGAGTCAGATGTACTGGAACTCTGGCATGGACACCAGCCAATAGCTGGGCATTTCAAGTATACCGTTCGGGTGAAAGCAGGTGAAGCGTTGTCAGAATTTATGGAATCTGGAGAACAGCTGCTAAATGTACCTTACCAATTGTCTGCCTCTGGTCGACAGGCCCACCCCACCTACTGTAAGTAATGGGTAGGATGTTTTGGCTACTTTTGTGCAGGCGAGCTGGCAGTGGTTAACGGGAACCTTAGTACAGGCCCTTGCATCCATGCAAGTACTGGAAAGGAAGCTCTGTCGATAATATCTTTGGGAACTCTGATCATCCATTTCTGTTTCACCATGATACTCCACATATAACCAATGCAACAGAGAGCCGATCCAGACCCTCTAATTGCAGCTCAATCCCTAGATGAGAATCTCATTAAGAATGTGTAGGATATCCCTGGAAATGGATAACTGACCAAACAAAAATGATTTGATTCTATCTTAATTTGCACAGTATGTGAAAAGCCATCACTGTGCAAACTTTTCAGATTTTTTGACTCCATGCACAGACGCGGCAGATGCGTCCTCCAATCCTGACGATTGGAGGACGTATTAACCTATATGAAATACTAAAATGTGACTTTAATTTTTACTATGGTTAGTTTATCAATTGGTTGTAAAATTTGTAAAATTTCTAGAAGTTTAATAAAGAACATCGGTTCATTACATGCTTTCCTGTATCACTTCACGCATTGCATTAGAGTGACACTTTTTTTGCTCGGGGAGTAAATGTGCGACTGTGTAGATCTGAGAGGGTCCATTTCTCATTGGGATGTAAACATACACGAGCGGACTTCGGTCTCGGTTCGCACAGGACATTTCGACTCTTCGACATTGAAAAATGAATGTACTGAGTGAAACAAAGCATCTTGCAAAAGGTAAACCCATCATATATATATATATATATATATATATATATATATATATATTTGAATAACTCTGTGGGTCAGGCCCGTAGCCAGCAATTTCAAAAGGGGGGGGGGGTCGCTTTCTGAAAAAGTGGACCTTTTTCCATAAAAACTTCATGTACCTAGATCAAATTTTACCCAGAGTGGACCTTTTCCCAGGAAAAAGGGCGGTTCTTTCGAACCCCCCGAACCCCCCCCTGGGGGTTAACTGCTAAAGGTTGCGAAATCTCTAAGAGTTTTGCTTCGGCATGTTGCTTAATTTCACTTTTCGACTGTTCAGTGCTACAATGTACTCACTCACCTCACGCAGGTATATTTAAGGACTCCACAGTTCACTCTGTACGTGTTACCTCAGTTTTTGGTCGTTCTTTGGGTGGTTTTAAGCAGTGAAGATGGGGTGAAGGTGATTGCTGAGCGTGGAGAGGACTTGGAAGGGAGTTATTATGGGTAGGAGCACGATCGACTGTCGCCTTGATGCATGGGTAATTTAAAGTACGTAGTAAATATATACTTGCCGAATAGTAAAAAGCAGTTGTATTCAAATTATTTGAAAAAGTCATCATTTTATGCTTTCACGCTGCTAATGAAAGCCCTATGGTATGAACATGCAAAAGGCCAAAGTTTTAATTGCAGAGGGAAACGTTTTCCAAGGCACAATAGGGCAAAGTAACAGCTTGCATGACCGCTCCCCTTCCTTCACCTGACTGTATTTCCTTTCACTACTTTCAGTGTTGTATATATATATATGTACAGGTTTTGTTACAACTTTGTGGACTATAAAACATGCTAACAAATGACATGTAGCTCTGATTTAAAAGAAAGAAAGTATACACCTCTGTAATACACACTTGTCTTTTTTCTCAATTACTATAATAGTAGGCATATTAAACTGTACTCAGTATATAAAATGTTATTTATTTAGCAGGCCTACAACCAGGGGTGACATGTGGCTAGGGGGTTCCAAACAACTGCCCTTTTTGCAGGGAAAAGCTAGGTCTGTCCTTGATCTAGATACACACAAGTTTCATGGTAAAATATCCCTTATTTCAGAAAATACTCTGCCACTTTAATATTGCTGGCCATGGGCTTGACAAGAGTACTAGATACTAACCTATCATATGTTCAACAATCCACAGAAGAATCCCCTAGTTAAATTTGTACTTCTGTCACAGCAGATAAGGCAGGTCAAAAAGTAATGCTACCATATCCACTGCTAGAAGACCAAGAAGTTACTCATGAACTAAATAAGTGGAGCAAATACCGGTACCAAAGACAAACCACCAGTTCAAGGGAGATGGTGTAATTTGCTGAGCTTGATTATGTGCACATTAAGTCAAACAATTAATTCTTGAAGATTAATTTAATTCAAAAATAAAATTCCATAATTTAAATTAATTGTATTGTATTGTATTGTATTTTGCCTAATTGTTGTAGGTCCATACTCTCAGGGTGTTTTCTAGCTAGTATCACAACTTATGATTATAATAATGATAATAGTACATAGTATTACAATTTCAGGCTCAGCATTACCTCCACTGACTCCAGGAAGACTGAGGCTGTATAGTATGAAATTTTGCCCCTTTGCACAGCGAACAAGACTGGTTCTGGTACATAAGAACATCCCGTAAGGCAAAATGAATTGTTTAAAGGCATGCAATTTAAACCTTTATATAACACAAAATGAAAATAAAAAATCCTGGCAGTTTCTGCAATTTTTTCTTTGTCACCAAAATATACTACCTTAGACATTAAGAACATTAACATCTTTAATTAAGCCTGTTTTCGAGTTCTAAGTTTTGCTGCCATAAGAGAACTTTGTGTGGCTCAATCGAAAACTGTAGACATTTGTAACCTTTTTAGACCAATAGTTACTATGTTATACTATTGTAGAAAACCCAGAAGTTTGGTCCAAAAGTTCACAACGACTGAAAAAAAATTAAGAAACAGGGACCCAGTATATTTTGACATTTCACTGAAATTGACTTATGCTATACTGATATGATCATTATTTTGCTTCAGCCATGAAGTGATTAATGTCAACTTGAAGCACAAACCCAAGTGGTTGTTTGAAAAGAATCCAAAAGGACTGGTGCCAATACTGGAGCAAGACAACAGGATTGTGTTCGAGTCTTTGATATGTGATGAATACCTAGAGGACATGTACCCAGAGAAGCCTCTCAGACCCAGTGATCCATATATTAAGGCCAGGCAGAACATTTTGGAAGGTTACTTTGAGCAGGTAAATCAAATACTGGGTAGCGCAGCACTCATGCAGTTGGCTTTGTTATTAATTAGAACTTTCTCTGATCAGTTCTACAGGGTGGTCCATAAATATGATCTATTTTACTTTCCATCTCAGTTTAAATGGGCATACAAAGAGGCTTTAGTTGGAAATGATACACAAAAACAGGGCTTTCAAAACATCAAACACTCCAAATAAACAAGATCTATTTCAAATTCAACATCAGACACGCACCCAGTCTGAGAAAAAAAAAAAAGGAACTAGAAATCACATTTACACCCCCACATCTAATGGTGATGATTATATAAGACAAATGATTTTAGACACCATACTTGTGTCATCTCAACAACTATGATATAGCACTCTTCCTCAGTTTGTATGCCCCTTTAAAATACATGTGTAGGTCGTTTGTTTATAGACCACCCTGTATAGTATGTAATGAAGCCTGTATTTCTGATCTCATGGGAGATCTCACAGTAGACCAATCCCCCTCTTAGCTCTTAGCTCTGGAAGCATAGGTATATAGGTTCAACAAAACATGACAAACTAGAAAAGCACTCAGAGAGCGCAGACCTCTGCCAAGGCAGCAATTTTTGATTATTATTGATTATTGATTGATTATTGATCCGGATCACCACCAAAAACTAATCATCTCTTCCTTGGCCCACTTCTGACAGTTCCTGAAAATTACATCAAAATCGGTCCATAACTTTTTGAGACAAACAAACAGGGGTGAAAACATAACCTCCTAGGCGGAAGTAATCATTGTAATACTGTCACTGTGTCCTACATGCATCTGTTATTATCATAAGTGAAATTGTCCTCGTCTATTATTTTACCTTTGTTTTGAGAAGGCAAGCAAGTTTTTGCCCTTTTGCCCCGTCCCAACACATACCTCCAAAAACGATATCTGTATCTGACAGCTAGGGTGCTTTCCCAGAGATTAAGATCGATCTAAAGATTAAGATTTAGATCGACCTAACTCCCTGGGGGTTTACGCTAAATTGCAGTCAGCCGAGCGGGCACTGTAGTTAATTACCCCCTTACAGCTTTTAGTAGGCGGGACAGACGCTTAAGCTGGCCAAGCTGACAGTAATCTAGTGAGACTCTCCACAGGGATAGATCGATCTAAAAATCTATGGAAATGGGGTGTTAGTGTTTATCACCATTTTCCTGCGACAACTTCAGATGTCTCACATGCCTTTTTTTTGCCATTCCAGATCTGAGCCTTTACCTTGAAGTCCTGTCACATGCTATATATCTTTTGTATATTTTTACAGGTCCTTCGTAGCCTGTACAGCACTATGTTTACAAGGAACCCTGAGAAGAAACTGAGGGGAAGGGAAAATTTACTGAAATCCCTGGAGATATATGAAACTGAACTGGAGGGGAAATTCTATGGAGGTATAAGTCTGAACTGAGAGTCAAGTTGGTAAATGTGGGCATGAATTGACTTGGTATCACCAATAGCCATGACATGGATTGACTTTTTAGACTTTGTTGTTGGAGCAGTGTAATAGGACTTCACAGAACTCTGAGTTTTGTTGTTTTTTATTGAAAAATGTTTTTGTAACCTTTTTGATATTTTTTCCAATGATTTTGACCACTTTTGACCATTTCTAGGTGATGAAGTTGGCATGCTGGACTTTCACTTGTGGCCATGGATAGAGCGTATCTACACCATATCACACATCACAGGGCTGGAATTTTCTGTGGAAAAATTTCCCAAGATGAATGCTTGGATCCAAAGGATGTACCAAACACCAGCAGTCAAAGCCACAGCTCTGCCAGGAGAGGTACATGCTGCCTTTTTGAAGTCATTAATGGACAGATCGCCTAACTATGAGATAGAGGTGCCAGCTTCCCGACTGTGATGAACGAGGCAGATGTCAGCCATAATTGGTTGTATGCAGTGCTCTTTTTCTCCACCTTGCACTGGAAAGACTGTCTACAGAGAGTAGAAATTTAAGTTTAATGTGAGTAAAAAGTTGCATTGTTCACTTTTTACATATTAAATTGTGGGATGAAAAAAGGATCATTGCATACAACCTCAACTTGATTTACATCGAGGTGAACTTATCCAAGACTGCAATTTTGTGTAATACAATACGCATAGGGGCATTGGCTAAATTGCTAAATAAATGGCTGCATTGGAGCTTGCACGCACATATTTTAAAAATGAAATTGACCAATGGTTTATAAGGCAAAAAGAGATGAACTATGGGCGTGAAAGTCTCCATAAAATGGAGAGTCAGTAACAGAGCATGTTTTCAAAACTTTGCTGCTGTGACAGGAATGGTAGTCTTAAAATTGGAAGTACAGGGTCCCATATTATTAGTACAGGTTAGTATATGGGACGAATGTCACCTGTACAAAGTAATGGGGAACGGGCTATGGTTTTTAGCAGACTACCATTCCTGTGACATTGGCATTTAGCATGGGGCCATTGTTTTAAATGTCACTAAGCACAAAAATCAATGTGGTTATGGTCATTTATACCAACAGAACACCATTATTTAAAAACAGCAGTATTATGAAGCCACTGTAGTATTCTGATTTAAGGCAGTTGATTCATGACACCAATTTTTTCCAACAGCATTAATTTAGTAGATAGAAGATAAGTAGGAACAAAGTAGATCATTATTATGAGCAGTCAGGTGGGTCTTAAGAGTTAATACCTAACAGATTAGATAAAAAGAAGTATCTTATAAAACATAAGCTCTGATTTTTAACTAACAATCAATCATTTGGTAAGTGTTTTGAGTGATAATTCATTCCCAATCATGGAGGCCACCTTGATAAAGTGTTTTTTTTGCCTCTGCCTTAAATTGCAAAGTTTATATTTTATGGAGCTAGACTCTTGGTTGATAAAAAAGTAGATAAACAATTATATATAAGACAATGAAAATGAATATTTATTTTGTTTTTAACATCGATTCCTGTCTTACACTTAATGTTGCTATGGTAACCATGTTTTAATGTTATCTAAAGCTGTGATGTAAATTATTTTTTCATGAACCAGATGTTTGAAGGTTATTTTTTTATGGAATGCAATCTAACATGTTCATTATATATAATCCGATGAAATTATGTATCCTCATCTGTTGCAAAATTTAAATGAATTTAGACTATATACTTACAAATAAAATTTTTACAATTTGGAAGATTCCATTTATTTTCTTGATTCTAGCCAACAGTCATAATAAAAATTTCACTTTGCGCTGTCTTTACACTGTCAGAATTTAAAGCTAAATTACCAAAATAAATAAATAAATAAATAAATAAATAAATAAATAAATAAAATTAAGAAAATTACAGCAACAGAATATCTTCAAAAACTAGTGGAATGTAACAATGGAAACTTTTTATTCACATAAAAAAGTAACAGAAATTTTGTTTTTCATTTGTACCAGCAGTATCAGAAATTTAATCTACCATCAAAACAAATCTTGAGTTTTAAAACTTTTAATAACATCTATACTAATCATTTGCATAATAGATATGAATGTGAACTAGAAACATTCACTAGCAGTATATGTATACCATACCATAAGATTAGAAGTGGTCTGAAAATGAGAATGTTTTGTTTTGCCAGCATTCACCCAAAAAGGTGTGTTGGGATGTGGGGAATTACCAGATCTCTATACCGGGGTCTTGTATTATAGCAGTAATGTTAAATAGCATAAGGCCTGAGGAAGGCCAATGTTTTTTCAGCTAACAAAACAAATTTTCAGTTCAAAAGCCTCACTGCTTAAATAAGTGAATGAATGGTACATTACAATGATATGGGTGAAATTGTAAAAACTGAAAACCCTGAAAACTAGCTTGCAATTTCTCATTGCATTAAGCACATGTGGGGAAAAAAAAACATCAAAATGAAAGTGCAAGTCCTGAAATCGGTCACAGTCCTGAAAATTAAAATATGCAAGGAGTCATATTTTATCACAAATGAAAACAGTACTTGACATCAGTAACTATACAATGACCCATTATTATTTTCTACAGCATGGACTAACACATCAATATGTCATACACTTTACTTGTATTGCTTATATAAAAATATGAAATATTTATTTTTAAAAAATCAGTAAACATGTCAGACCAATTCCACAAGGGGGTTCTTAGTCTTGGTCAAAACCATTGATGTGAATGAATTTGTGCATTTTTTGCTTAAGGTCAAGACCTGAGCATTAAGATGACATTGAAAACACTGGGGTACATAATATGTGTGATGCAGTCTACTTTTGTGGTACATATCAAGAATTGGTAATACATTCTTGTTCATATTTACAACACCTTTTAAGAGTATTTAACAGTTATAAAAGCATAATTAATACAATGCACACTACACCACAACAGTACTAAACAGTTTTTTTTTCTGAAAATTTTTAATGATATCTGCTCATTAACCAAGGTATACCATATTAACCAAGCTGGTTGAGATAATTATGGGTTTCAACCCAGTTTTCAAATTTTAAATATCTATTTTCACTGTCACCATTAAAATTCACCATTCTGCAATCTTTTTTATGAGGCAGATACAAAAATATTTAAACTTCGAACTGAAAAAAGTTTTTAAAATTGTCTTATGTAAATAGGATATGGAGTACCTTGGTGAAGAAAGAAAAAGTGTGAAAATTCTCTGGAAAATAATGCACAATGCATGCTTTTGACTGCATTAAGCAGTTGTAGTTATGCATCAAACAAAACCAGCCACTAGCCGACAACAAAATATTCCCATGCATATACATAAAAACCTATGGTCCTCATGTTGGATTCAGCAAAATACCTAAAGATTTCTAAGCGGCCTTCTGAAAAAAGTGTTTGATTTTATTCATCTGTACTTCTGGTTACACTCAATATAACATTGAATGTCAGAAGAAATGCAAGGGAAATATTCATAACTTAATGATGGCCTTAATTTTTTTTTGACAATTTGACAATTTTAAGGAAAAAATGTTTTCTAGTCAAGTAATATACTAATTATATTATACAAATGGACAATTTCTTCTGAAAACAATCATTGTTACAAAACAAGTTGACCACACCAGTCCCTGTGTTCTTATCCCCTCTTCTGCCTCCTGTAAACAACAAATCCGTGACTTTAAAAAGTTGGTTTTGATGCTCTCTGCCAAAACTCACCTAAGGGGCTGTTTCATTAAAGGACTTTTGATCAGTCAAAAATTATCATAGCAAACACTGTTTTCAAACTTAGTAAACTAAGTTGTATGTCATCAAAAATCTTAAGATCACTTTCTTAATCTTTTAGACCTCTTAAATATGCCCCAAGAGCAAACTGTTATAGTCTTGACAATGGTATTACTCTTAGTCACGACATGAGCCTAGTGAGTTTTACTGTGAACAAATTGTCTGAAAAACTTGTTTGAAAACATCTCTTACACTTATGCTGTAAATCCAACTGACGTAGTCAGATATCCAAGTTTAGCAGTCTAAGCTAAACCTAAAGAATTGAGAGTATATTGAAAAACAGAATCCTTGACACTTATGTGAGGCATCTTAGCTAACCCATTTCTCATGTAATAGCGTTAATTAGGTTTTGGCAATCAAGCAACAGACCAGGGAGGCCATTTCCATAGCTTCTAAGTTCTGTGACAGGAGTGAAAAATACTGCTTTGATTTTTTTTCACAATGATGTCAATGGAATGTTTTAACATGTGAAAAATTCAGGAGGATTCAATACTTTTTTCAATAATATAACTATGCTAAATTTTGCCCTTCCAGTCATTCCTTATAACATTTGAATGACTTGTCAGAATATTCAAACATATACCTGTCTGGGTTCACTTTCCTTAAAAAGTTAACTCTCATTAAATTCCCTTCTTCTCCCAGAAAAAGTGCTCTAATAAATTCAGGAGTGAAATAAATTCATAAGTAAAACATTTTTCAAACTTCTGAAGCCAAATTTTACATAAAAAGTACTTCTTGGCTTCATTGCATCTTTCACACCATTACCACCTCTTATATCTTCTATGATATTATTAATAATACAGTAATTACTAAATCTTTTCAATGGGGGGAAAATTGTGAATTTTACAGATATTGTATTTTTTAAGTTGTAATTTCTTAAAATTAGAACATTTCCATTCAGTGGTAGCAAAAAAAAAAAAAAAAAAAAAAAAAAAAAAAAAAAAAAAAAAAAAAAAAAGCA